AGTCTTCCTCCTCCAGCCGGAAGTCGGTAGCCTAGTGGCGGGAAGTTGGTTACTTGCGGAGCAGAGCATGCGGACGAGGGATATCCACATACCCCGTCATTTTGCTTCAGTAAGGAACATCTCTAAAAAAAATCAACTGGACTCGCCCCGCCAATATATTCAAGTGACAGCAGAGGGAAAAGTTAGGTGGTCTGCAACAACTTTCAATCGAGCTGCGGACTCCTAGGGTCTGTTAATCCCGTAAGAAAAGTAGTGTGCAGACGGTCACTCCACGCAAAGTGGAGAACAGCCTTAGCAGGTGACGAAACGTTGATGTCTTGCACACAAAGACGGCAGATGTTCTCTCCACATGTAGCTCTTCTTTCATCTACTGGGACTCCAAAACACCACGATTTCGCCTACGCTGGAGCGGAACGCACGAGCACACAGATTTCGCCTAATGCAAGACATCTCGTCGGACCTAGACGAGAACGGCTACGCATCAGGCTGCTACATCACGCCTGATATGATCACTGAAGCGCAATACTCTTAGGTAGGCGCATTTGAGGCATTGCTTCAGCTCTTATTTGGTATTCAGCCCAGTGTCGTTAGTCGGACAGCACCTGCCTGAGGAACTGCCATGTGCTGAACAGTGTGGTGTTTTTTCATGTAACCACTTAAACGAGTGCGGCACATGGGCAGGAAGTGATGCAGAATCAACCTAAAACAGCGCTGTGAACATATTCTGTTGTAATGAGGTATATAAATTCTATTGAAAGAAGTACGCTCGCCTGCTGACCAACTACAGGGCTGAGAAGACGGTATCGTCTGTTCGCTGCTCATATGAGGATTTGAATCAAAAGCCACATTGCCTGTCTTCTAGTTATGAGTGCAGCTGCTACAGTAACACTGCTGAGCTTAACCCTGGCAATGGACTGCAGTCGCCGGGTTCATCTGCAGTAAATTTGGCATCCCGCTTGAACACGGGCTCCGTGGTAGTCATCACAGTTCTTCACTGAGATACTTCATTACAATTTTATGAAGCCTTCAGTACCACCATGCACACAATAAAAGCAAGTCCAAGCCTGCATATAAACTCAACCACGTTGAGCCTATGCTGCAGAGTGNCATGCACACAATAAAAGCAAGTCCAAGCCTGCATATAAACTCAACCACGTTGAGCCTATGCTGCAGAGTGCATCGTCGTGCATTGCCACAACCACAGGATATTCTGTGTTGCAGAGTTGTTCGTATCGCAAATTGAAAGATAGAGCTTGAAACAGCAGCAAGAAGTCCGCAACATTCTGGTGTTCTCAAGCGGCAAAATCCCCATACACTCGCTCGTCGAGTTCTGCTCATTGGTAAAACTCAAACCAATAAACTGCACCAGAATGCGGCACATATGTTGAAGCGGAGACATTCGCTACGGGAGCAAACTATTCCCTCCACTTCATGGAAGTGGCTGCAAGCTTTCGTCTTCGCTGGGCTTGACGCTGTAGGTAACATATCCTGTGTGTCCCTTCATTGGCAGTTGGTAATGATAGCTACTAATGCGTGGTGGGTCATCAAGATGCGCTTCTGATGAGACCGCAGAGCAGCATGTTGTCACTGATCGTCGTGTGCTTACAGCTGCACTGCACCAGCTGGTAGACTGTGAGAAGGGTTGTTGCAAGAAGTGAGACAGAAGCGCCGGGAATGAGGTAGCTTGTTGTCGCGGGTTATCGTGCGTCTCCTGGGCATCCCGATCTTCCGCTTTCTGTAGTCTCATTTGTGATGGTGCATCTTGTTTTCTTTTTGGCTTCTCCTTCTTGCTATCCGGTATTGGACGAGATATGCATGCCCCCCAGGGCTTGGCAAGAATCTCAAAGGCCTGAAAGTCTGTGGTTGTAAGCCAAATCGTAGCACACGAGGACATGCACGATCGCACTGACGCTGTAAGGCGTAACAATCAATCACAAACTGACTGCGTGGTACGGTGTAGGTTCCTTTATCTGCAGTAATTAGAAACGTGGAAAACTCTGAAGATTTTGCATGTGCGCGTGAACCGAAGTGGACTCATTTGTACTTGCCCCGGCTGGTCAATATGGGGCATTCGCAAGACGCCCCGTGGCTTCTTCACAAAGCCAATTAGCCGTAAAGCGTACAATGAATGCATCATCTCATTGGAACTTTAAGTTGAGCTATTTAACGCCTTGCGGTGCAACCAACAACAAACGTACCCTGAAAGCCCAGCTCCTGCGCTGCTGCGAACGTCTTGTGTAATTGCTCAACACAAGGAGAGAAGGTCACCAGGCGCCCTCCACCCTACAAAGCAACCGGCACAAGAGGATGACAGCGCCACACAATGGTGTTTTTATCAGCACGAATCGCCACGCAACGCATGTCTCGCTATATGCCAGGACTTCTTGTGGATTCGTTGTGCTCCCGAGTGGAAATGGCCGGCCCCACCTTGAGAACGTGGTCGGCGTGCTTCAGTGCTAGCCACGGGGAAGGCAGGTCAAGAAATACGCCGTCCGCGGTATGCGGCTCCGGCAAATTCCCCTCGTTGTCTCCCGTTGCAGAATCTTCCGTTGGGCCGAGTGACGAGGCTGTTGTTGCATGCACTCGCTGTTGGCAGAATCCATCCGCGCATACATCTCGGTGGATGGCCTGAATTTC